CACAGCTTAAGATGCGGCTTCCGCCCCGCCCCGACACGCCCTCGCCGCCCATTGGCCGACGGCAAGCGCCGGGCACCAATCGCCGCCGGCCTCCTTCGCCCCGCCCACCCCGCGGCCGCGCGTCGCAGACGCAGCGTAGCAGCGCGGGTTCCAGCCGCGCTCGCACCTCCCGGTCCCGGCTGCCCTTGGCCAGTGCAGGGTCCCTGCGCGGGGCGCCCGCCTGGCCCATGCTTTCCCCTCGGTCGCCCAGTGCCCCTTCCTCCTTTGCTGATGGAAAGACGATGCTCTAAGGGATGAAACCTCGACTGGGCCCCCTCAGTCTCGCGGCGTTTCCTGGGCCCCCACCGCTGGGGCTGGACCGTGGGCTGGACCTCCAGCCGTGGCCCCTCATGGCCGTATTCCCAGTCACTTGCCTCGCAGAGCCTCACGTGGGGCGCCAACGTCAGCTCCGACCCAGATAGGCCTGCAGGCCCTCTAGCCCTTGAACCCTGGTGTGCTGCGGTGCTGTCGCACTTCTGAACCCACCCACCAGAAGTCACCGCTGCAACTGGAAAACACTCTGCCCACTCCCTCGTGGCTGCTCGTAGATCCTTAAATGACCATAACACACTGTCTGCTGCGTCCTCCACAATCCGTTCTAAAATGCAGAACTCAAATTGGATACACCAGGACAATCATGATAGAATGGAAGGGACTGGAACACCGTTTAGTCTACACTACTTTTGTTGTATATTGGGTAAACGGACTAGGCGAGGGCAAGCGACTTCCCAGGGTTATCCCGCAGGTGAAGGACAACCCAGCCCTGTGTGCCACCACACTTCTCAGAAGGCAGTAGCGGACAGCAACAGGGACAGAGGACTGAACTCCGCACCGTGTTCCATTAGACCCACGTGATCAGTCAGGGTCCCACCTGGAAACAGATGGTACACTCCAAAATGTAAATTTGAGTTCTGCTTGTTAAAGAAATTATTTAAATGCGGACAAGTAAACCATAAAGAGTAGAAAAGTAACCTAGAGCCCTTGGGGAGAGGGGGAGATTGTCAACCCTAGTCCTAAAGGGATAGTGTTCCAGAACCCAAAGAGAGAGAGAAAGGAGAGGCCATGTGCCTGGGTGGTGATCATAAGTGACTCTGCCAGAAGGGAGCTAGGGTGATGAGGATTCCAACCTCTAAACTCCTGCTAGGGTTATCCATGGACGAAACCCATTAGAAAACCAGAGAGGCAGATTCTGCAGGTCAGCCTCCTGGGACACAAGGCAGAGAGGAAATGGGGTTGGAGGACAAATGGAAAACACTCAACACACATAACCAGCTAAGCAGAAAGTCAAGTCTGTATGATGTGGGCACAGAGGCAGAGCCGTAAAACAGCAGAGCCCAGGTCTGCAGATGTCCAGAGCAAGTTCTCAAAAAGGAATTCAGTCCTCCTTGGCTCCATCTGCCCTAGACCAAGGGTACTTACTCCAATTGTTATGGCCACCCCCTCTCTGGAGCTCACTGAGGGTAGGACTTTGCCTTTTTTTTTCTTTTCTTTCTTTTTTTTAAATTTTATTTGCTATCCTTCCACTACCTTGAATACAGTGTGATTGAGTTCTTGCAAGTTAGCTCATTCTTCAAAAGAAAAATTATTTCTTCATGTTCCTATTCTACAAACCTGGGCAGGTGTGTAAAGGCAAGCCCAGTTCTTGTAACTCTTACAAAGTCCAGGAATTCCCTGATTATGCCTTTAAAAGAAGGAGCAGGTGCTTCTGAGTTCATAAAGGGGGCACAATCCAAGATTCTGAGTCATGTCATAGGCTAGAATGCCTTTGGACCCACAAATAAGTTACTCCTTAACAAATATGCTTTTATATGCAAGAAACTGCTGAGCATGTCTGGGTTTTATATCTTCCCTATTATCAGAAAAATGCAACAGTACAGAGAGCATGATAATATTTTATTGTTTCTCTATCATGTTTCTCTACATAATAATATTTTATTGTTTTTCAGCTTAACTTGGCCTTGGAGACCTAGACTTGAAAACAGCTTGTTTTCAACCAAGAGACAGAGCTGTTCCATTTGTATGTGTTTTATTTGTACAGTCTGGAAACATAAGGACAGAACATACATTACAAAGATTTTTGAGCCTCTAAAATTCTCAGATTCCAGTCATTAGCTATATAGGAACCATAAAACGGGAAGATAGAAGGACTGATCCCAGTGTAGGATTTGAGTCCCCACTTGGGGAGGGTCCTTGACTCTGCACAGGAAAGAATTCAAGCACAAGCCAGAGTTAGAGACAAAAGGAAAGTTTGTTAGAGAGAGAATAAGGCTCCACAGACAGAGACTTGGTCTCCTCTCAAATACAGAATGAGAGAGACCCGGAGTGCCCAAGGAATTCGATTTAAATCTGTTTTCCTTTCCCAGGACGGGTATGCAGCTTCAGAGCCCTGGGAAAGTAGTCCATAGTAATCTCAGTGGGAATCTTCCTATAGGTTCCCTGTGGTCTGACGTATGCAAATCAGCCAAGTTCCCGTGTCTAGCAGCACAGAGCAGACTCTGAATACAACCTGGTTTGATATACTTAGCCAATTTGTGTAGTTCTCATGCTTCTTTCGTATATTAATCCCATAGCGGATATCCAACACCTAAATTAATTTCTTTAGTTCATTTGACATGTCTCTTGAGCATCTATGTGGCTGATGCTGCCAAGGGTCTCACACCAGGCAAGAGCATGGGAGCCTCTTTAGCGAGGAGGGAGAAGTTCAGGAAGTAAATGCTCCTTCAACACGTGTGATTTGAAATCTTACAACTTCGACCATCTAAAGAAGCTGCAACTAACTACAAACAAAAAAAGGGAAAGCATTCTTGATTTTCTTATACAGGCAACTCTCAACTATTCAGTGACCAGGAAAACATTTTATGGGTTGTGTGGGCATTTTGCCTTTTATTTGTTCCTTAACTGTCCAACTTGTTATTTGTAACTAGTGTAGCCTACATACACTTGGGCTGGAAATGATTAAAAAGGAAAATCCAGGCTGACAGCCAAGGAAGAAGTCTAGTAATGAGGCTTAGAAAATAAGTGTTTGGTGATTGTTACCCAGCAGGAGAAATTCTTCTCTCCCTGGCAAGATTATGTTCACCCTAGAAAGAAGTCTTCCAACAAGAGACTCGGCAACATATACAGCTCGTGCCTCCTTCTGGTATGGCACTGAGGTAGGACAGGCATTTGTATCTGGAGGAGAGTAAAACCTCTTTTAAGTGCAAGATGGCGGGAATCTGGCCAGAGCAAGTCGAGCAAAACAGTGACAGGAGCTGGAGAGGAATAGTTGATAAAAGTTCTAGGCTTAAATCTAAAATGAGGACGATAGGAAGAGATTCGGAAATTTTTCAGTTAAAATATTGGTTTCGATAGGAAGATATGCCTGCCAGTACTTTTCTCTCCTTGGTATCTGAATTCCACCTAAGAACTCTAGCTACAGCTCCTGTCCTTCCTTCCCCACATGACACCCTCCCTGGCTCCCCAGGCCACATAGCACTACCTGTCCATTTGTCAAAGTACTGCCCACAGCCATTGTTCAACCTACTCTAGAGCCCTAGCCCTATCTATGTCTTATTCTTCCCAACCCAGCTGTAAGTTCTCGAAGGTAGAACCTGTCTTGCAGGATTCTTACAGCCTCCCAGAACCCATCAACTTGTTGCTTTTAACAGGAATTATTATTCTACACTTGTCACTACTTATCTTTGTCCTCCTAGGCAGGAATTAGAGGCAAAGGAAGTGGCCATTATGAGAGGATGATCCTGGGGTTCCCAAACCCCAGGTGGCCCAAAGCCCTCCCACTCCTAGAATAGAAACAATTCAGATTAAAGCCCTAGAAGCTTGGGTTGAAGGAAGGAGCATACCTCAAACCATTAACACCTTGCTACTTGTCTAAGTGCGGACAGAATGTCATCTGGGCATGATAAGTTTATAAAGTTGTGTGCTGGGGAGAAGGGGATGGACCAAATCTAAGCTTGACGCGTGAGATCTGGAACAGAGCTGGGTCCAGAAAGGGAGCCTCTGAGATTATCTTGGGGGTGGATGACTATGAATGGAAGACATTGTGTGTCTGGAAGGCTGTTTAGGGAAAG